AGCATACAAGGGAACTCCCATAAGGTTATCAGCTGAGTTTTCAGCAGAAACTCTACAGGCCAGAAGGGAGTGGCATGGGTATATTTAAAGTGATGGAAGGGGAAAACTTACAACCAAGAACACTCTATCCCGCAAGGCTCTCGTTCTGACTTGATGGAGGAATCAAAAGCTTCACAGATAAAAGCTTAACAATTTCAGCACCACCAAACCAGCTTTACAACAAATGTTAAAGGACCTTCTCTAGCTATCAAACCATAAGAAAAGAGAACAAAAAGAAAGAGAGAGAAAAAAAAAAAGACCTACAAAAGATTGCTTTGGCAATTTGGGGTCTAGTATGGTTCTGTATAAATTTTAGAATTGTTTGTTCTAGTTCTGTGACAGATGTTGTGAGTACTTTGGCAGGGGTTGCACTGGATCTGTAGATTGCTTTGGGGACCGTGGCCATCTTGATAATGTTGATTCTTCCAATCAAAGAGCACAAGATATCTTTCCATTTCTTTGCATCATCTTCAATTTCTCTCATCAAAGTTTTAACAGTTTTCAGAGTATAGGTAACCTCCTTAGTTATTTCTAGGTATTTTGTTCTTTTTGATGCAATGGAAATGTTTATGCCAGTTAAAATTCTGGTTTTTGAAGTGGAAAAAGAAAGTGAATGAAGGGCTGCAAATGGCAAAGTATCCTTTTTTCTTATGGGTGAGTTGTATTCCATTACATATATATATGCTGCATCTTCATTATCTATTCAACTATTGATGGGCACTTAGGATGCTTCCCTATCTTGGCAATTATAATGTATCTTTTTAAATTCTTATTTTGTGGTTGGCTTTATTCTTTTGATAATTATGTGAGTTTAAAGTGTTAAACGTTCTTAGAAACAACGAAGAGTACATATATGTAAATTTAAAAGATATGTGTAGTATTGTGTATATGTGTTTACATGTAATACATTGTATATGTGCAAATTGTAATAATTCTACCTAAACTGAAAAATGAAAAGATAAATTGTACAACACAGGAAATATACCCAATATTTTATAATAACTATATATGGAGTATGACATTTAAAGATTGTGAATCATATTGTACACCTGTAAGTTATAATACTGCATATCAATGATATTTCAATAAAAACATACATCTTTAAGTTTGGTAGATATAGCTAAATTTATATTATTTTTCATAAATAATTTTAAAAAGTACACATGCTTTTAAAATCATTTGTAGCTTTTAGTATTAAAATCACAATAGGATTTAAATCAAGTAGTTATTGAATATTTATCATCTATGCCAATCGTACGCAATATGGGAAAAACTGAAGAATAAGACAACACAAGGAAAGAAACAAAGATCAGAGAGGAAATAAAACGTTAAAAAAAAAAAAGAGAAAAATCATTCAAACCAAGAGCTGGTTTTTTTGAAAGAATAAACAAAATTAACAAACCTCTGAACTAGGCTCACCAAGAAGAGAGAGACGACCCAAATAAACAAAATAAGAAATTAAAGAGGTAAAATAACGACCAATACTGCAGGGGAAAAAAAAAAACTGTAAGAGAATAGTATGTAACTGCCAACAAACTGGACAACATAGAAGAAATGGACATATCTCTAGAAATATATGTTCCACAAAAACTACATCAAGAAGAAATAGATGATTTGAATAGACCAATCACAGGAAGTGAAATAGAATCTATAATAAACTCCCTGCAAATAAAAGTCCAAGATCAGATGGTTTCACTGGGAATTCTAAAACATACAAAGAACTCATACCGATCCTTCTCAAATTTTTCCAAAAGACTGAAGAGGAGAGAATACTCCTAAAGTCATTCTATTCAGAAACTATTAGCCTGATACCAAAACCAGACAGAGACACAACCAAAAAAAGAAAATTACAGGCTAATACCTCTGATGAATATAGATGCAAAAATTCTCAACAAAATATTAGCAAACTGAACCTGACAATACATAATAAAGATCATAGACCATCATCAAGTTGGATTCACCCCAGGGTCACAAGGATGGCTCAACATACACAAATCAATAAATGTGATATGCCACATTAACAAAGGAAAAGACAAAAACCACATGATCATCTTAATAGATGCAGAAAAATCATCTGATAAAATTCAACATCCATTCATGATAAAAATTCTTACCAAAGTGGGTATAGAGGGAACATATCTCAACATAACAAAAGCTATTTATGACGGAGCCAGAGCCAACATAATACTCAACAGTGAAAAGCTGAAAGCCTTCCTGCTAAAATCTGCAACAAGACAAGGCTGCCCACTCTCACCACTTCTATTCAACATCGTATTGGAAGTCCTAGTCACAGCAATCAGATAAGAAAAAGAAAGAAAAGGGATCCAAATTGGAAAGGAAGAGGTAAAAAATTATCACTATGCAGATAACATATTATATGTAGAAAACCCTAAAGCCTCCACACAAAAACTACTAGAGCTGATAAATGAATTCAGCAACCTAGCAGGATGCAATATGAACAAACAGAAGTGTGTTGCATTTTTTTACACTAACAATGAAATATCAGAAAGGGAAAGTAAAAAAAAGTCTCTTTTAAAGTCACATAAAAAACAAAAATACTTAGGAATAATCCTGACCAAGGAGGTGAAAGACTTATAGGCTGAGACTATAAAACATTGATAAAGAAAACTGAAAATGATTCAGAGAAATGGAAAGATATCCCATGCTCTTGGATTGGAAGAATTAATATTGTTAAAATGGCCATACTACCCAAAACAATCTACAGATTTAATGCAATCCCTGTTAAATTACCCAGGACAGTTTTTAAAGAACTAGAACAAATGATCCTCAAATTTATATGGAACCATAACAGACCCAGAATTGCCACAGCAGTACCATTCTTGTTCCTCAAAGCTGGAGGCATAACCCTCTCAGACTACAGACAACATACAGAGCTACAGTACGGTATTGGCACAAAAACAAACACAGATCAATGGAACAGGACAGAAAGCCCAGAAATAAACCCACAGACTTACAGTCAATTAATCTTTGACAAAGGAGACAATAAGATACAATGGAGAAAAGACAGTCTTTTTAGCCGGTGGTATTGGGAAAGCTGACAGCTGCATGTAAATCAGTGAAGTTAGAACACGCCCTCACACCATACACAAGAATAAATTCAAAATGGCTTAAAGACTTAAATATAAGACATGACACCATAAAACTCCCAGAAGAGGACACAGGAAAAACATTCTCTGAAATGAATCATAGCAATGTTTTCTTAGGTCAGTCTCCCAGGACAATAGAAATAAAAGCAAAAGCGAACAAGTGGGACTTAATCAAATGCGTAAGTTTTTGCACAGTAAAGGAAACCATAAACAAAACGAAAAAACAGCCTAGGGACTAAGAGAAAATATTTGCAAATGATGTGGCTGACATGGTTTTAATTTCCAGAATATAGAAAAACCTTGTACAACTCAGTAACAAAAAACCAAACTACCCAATCAAAAAATGAGCAGACCTAAACAGACATTTTTCAAAGAAGACATCCAGATGGCCAACAGGCACATGAAAAAATGCTCAATATCACTAATTTTCAGAGAAATGCAAATCAAAACTACAGTGAGATACCACCTTATAGTGGTCAGAGTGGTTTTCATTAAAAAGTCCACAAACAATAAATGCTGAGGAGGGTATGGAGAAAAGGGAACCCTCCTACACTGCTAGTGGGAATGTAATTTGGTGCAGCCACTATCGAAAACAGTATGGAGATTCCTTAAAAAACTAAAAAGTTAGACTTACCACATGATCCAGCAATCCTGGGCATATATCCGGAGAAAACTGTAATTCGAAAAGATACATGCACCCCAGTGTTCATAGAGGCATGATTTACAACAACCAAGACATGGAAGAGACCTAAATGTCCATCCACAGATAACTGGATAAAGAAGATGTGGTGTATGTATATATATGTATATGTGTGTGTGTGTATACAAACACACAAATACATACACACAGTGGACTACTACTCCGCCATAGAAAAGAATGAAATAATGCCATTTGCAGCAACATGGATGGACCTAGAGATTATCATACTAAGTATTTAAAACAGAGAAAGACAAGTATGATATCACTTATATGTAGAAAATAAAAAAAAAATGATACAAATGAATTTATTTACAAAACAGAAAGAGAGTGACAGACATAGAAAACAAAACACTGTTACCAAAGGGAAAGGGGGGAGGGGAATGATAAATTGGGGGTCTGGGATTTGCAGATACAAACGACTCTATATAAAATAAACAACAAGGTTCTACTATAGAGCACAAGGAACTATATTCAATAGCCTATAATAAACCATAACAGAAAAGATGAGAAAGAATATAGACATGCACAACTGAACACTTTCCTGTACACCAGAAACACATCACTGTAAGTCAACTGTACTTCATTTAAAAAAGAAAAAAATATGCCAAATATTAACATTTATCGATTCAAAGTGGCTAGTATTGTCACTGTAATCTGTATAATAATCTGTAATCATTTCTGAATCTAAATTTTTTAAATAGATAAATTAAAAAATAAAATAATTTTTGTTGAATAATACAGAACCAGGTATAAATAAGCAAGAGATCATTTCCTCCTATTCCTACCTTGTGGTTAATCACCTGAAGGGGATTTTCCCAACTCTGATTAGGATAATCAGCCACAGTGAGTTCTGGTAGCACTGCCTTTTCATCTGAAGAACTGCACAGAAGATTGCCTTCTGAAATGGAAAGAAACACAATTTTGTTCAAAGTTTGAATTAAGATGACCATAGCCTACTGTGTCTCTAATGGCTCTGACCCTAGACTAGCAGTTGTTCTTACATCAGGGTCACCTGGAGGGCTTGCTTCAGCAGACTGCCGGGCACCCACCACCAGAGTTCTGATTGCAGGGAAATGGGCTTCTCAGACTCTCCTGGGCGTCCCGGGGGGCTTGTTAAGGTGCAGATGCGGAGTCAGCTAGTCTGGGATGCGGCCCAACGTGCTGCGTCTCCCCCAAGCTCGTGCTGCTTGTCCAAGGACCGTACTTTGCAAAGTAGAGGGTCTGAAGCACTTTGACCTGATCAGTGATGCACTCATGCATCCTTGACCGCAGGAAGTTTTCATCGCTGTCCAGGAGGGGCTGATAGCACCCAACACCAGCACTTCCGACCTGCAGAGCCGTATAGTCACTCGCCTACCAGAAACCCTCCCTTCAGCCGGCCTCCAGTCACCTGCAACTCACCGTGTCTGAAAGTCAGCTCAGCGTCTTTGTCCTCACAGCCTCGCCCTCCTGGGTCAACCGCAGCTCAGGGACC